TACTTAAAATTATTTAATATAGAATGAAAAGTAATGATGTTCAATTCAGAAAACCTGGAGGTTGTATCCAATTCTACTATTTAGTAGCTAAGTTATTGTTGGGATATTTCTTGAATCTTTGAAACTCAGTTGCCTCACATATAAAAAAGAGGACAATACTCATTCTAAAGCTTGTGAAATAATGTGTGTCAATCGCAGGCACTTAAGAGATGTACACACTTTGTGCCCATCCCCAAAACTCCCCAAAGGGTCTTAGAAGATTACACTGTGTCCACACTATAATCATGCCACTCTCATTCCTTTATTCCGTACATATCACTGGGAATTAGAGTGATGCCTAGCATGGAATAGAAAGTCTTAATACATGTGTTGGCCAAATGAAGGGATTACTGAGGAAATCAGTATCAGGATAGGTAAACAAAAAGTACTAGAAAGTCAGGTACCCAGCCCTTATGTAACTTACAAAGTGAAATGTACAAGAGGGATAGTTACCAACACAGTAAAAATATAAGAGATAAAAAATATAAGTAAGATTAGTCTATTCAGGTTTAAAAGTCATAGATTTGTACCTGCCATTTAACGCATGAAGTGCTGCTATAGAGATACTGAAACCAGTGCTATGGAGGTACAGAGAAAGGAAAAAGTGACTGCTTGAAAGATTCAGGCAAGGCTTCACAGAGGAAATAAACTTTGACTAGGCAGAGAGATGAGAAGAACATTACTGTTAGAAGAATTAAAAAAAAAAGGATTTGATCTATGAACTTTGTCAGAGCATTCTGGGAAACAATTCTTTGAACTCTTTTAAATACTGTGAGTACTACAGATTCTTAAAGAAAAATGTATATAAAAATATACAGAGTGAATTTTTCCACTTGCTATAAGAAAAGTGCCAATCAATTTTCTCCAGTTTGCCTTATAAAAATATAATTCTAATACGAAATATTACTCTACAGTCTAAGTCTATTTAGTTATGTGCCACTTTTACATATTTACCTTTGGTCAGCTTTGACAGAATGGAAAAACACCCTCTATTTCTATTCTTCTCTTGAGACTAATAGCCAATTCCATTTCATAAAATCTTGTATTTAAAGCATTCAGAAGTCAAAATGTGTGGCATTTTCCACCTTGCCAAATCCATGTTAAGTCAGTGGCATATTACCAGACCAAGAAACCCAAAATTAGACGAAGGCAATCAATCCATTGGGATCAGAATTTTGCCAAATCTCATAATTCAAAGAAACTGTTAAAGATGGTTGTGGGGTTTTTGGCACTGTGAGTTTAAGCCATTTCATAATAGGGCTTGTATTTCTTCTAATCAGTAAATCGGAAACTATAAAAGTTTTGTTGGTAGCAAAGAATTAAAATTCGGATTATAATACATAAGTCTTTCCTTCCTTTCCATATGTTTCAGTAAATTAAAACTTCTAAATCTTGTTTCAAAAAAAAAATACCTTCTAAAAAATAAAGCAGCCTATAAAATTGTATTTTTGGTACAGGAAACATAAAGTATCCAGGCTTTAAAAATAAGAGGGGGAAATAAAAAGGGCACATGGTTTCAAAAAATATCCAAAGTCATATCACAGTCTAGGTATATACATAATTGAATATATTTAAGCTTTCAATTTTTCCTTTCTAAATGATTTCTTTTTGGCATACTGGCCATCTAAAACTTTTATAGATATATTTTTGAGGTGGCCATTTATCAATCTAATAAAAAATGTTTCCATTTGGATTCCATAAGAACATCTCAAAGACAATAGCTGGGGCAAGATGCCTATATGAATTCTGTTCTTACACAGAGCTTTATGAGTTATCATCCTATCAGAACAGGCAATGGAAAATTATCTTAATATGTAAAATAATTTTTTTCCCAACTGACTGAATTAGACATACTATGATCCTGTAGATAGCAGAAATATAACTTCTACCCTCTAATTCTAAGTAATGTTTTTTTCTTTCCATCTCTTTGTTCTGTGTCTGCTAATTTTTTACATTAATTTTTCACATTAATTTCTTTCATCATTCCTTCTTTAATATTCTGTCTTTTTTAATTTCTTCATTTTTTTTGTATATGGAAAGACTTACTCACCTTTGTTCTCTTATCCTTCATGTAAAAATATTTTACATCACATTTTTAATTTCTAAAAGCTTGTTTTTTGTTTTTTCATTACTTATTGTTTTATGGCACCCTGCTTCACGAAATGCTAGTTTACCATCTGCTTCTGAGGATTTTTAAAACAATTTTCTTCTGTTTAGCCCAGTTTCCTTCACCTAATAATCTGTTTCAGTCTCAATCTTTTACATCTGCGGCTTTCCTAATAGGACTGATATCTTTGATGGCCACTGTTATTTAAAAATGAGTTAATAAGAGGTGAATTAAGTTCCTTAGGCATAGGTGTGCTTCTAGACTTTTGTGTATCTCGTTTGGGAGCTGGTCATTTACAGAGGACCTCCAAGACGTAGGCATATGGGAACCTTTTTTCCAGGTAGGAACTCAGTAGTCTCATGTGCATGCACGTGCACATGTGTGTGTGCAGTGCTGTGGGAATATCAGCTCTGTTCCGGTCCTCTGCACGTGGCTGGGGAAGCACGCTGACGAGCACAGTCCTCCACTGGGGATGTTCCTCCATCCTCTCCTCCGGCCCCTCTACTTTCACCTTCAACTTGGAAGCTGTTCTGAGTCACAGGCCTCTCCTAGTCAGTCGCTCCACTGTGAGCCTCCCTTCCCGACTTGGGGTGAGTACCTGCGGGTTGGCATTGTGTACACTGAGGGAGACCTGAGTGTTCCATACGCAGGTTACAACCAATTATCCCATTTTATTGCTCCTTAACTCACTCTCTGCAAGGCCAGCTGCCTCCATGTCTCGACTCTCTCTAGGTTTCTTTTTAAGTACATCAGATTTCTTTTCACTGTTACCCCACTCCAAAGCCCTTTTACATGGTGGTTTACCCTGTTCTGACAAATCTATTGAAATACCTCTTTCCGCTTTCTAAGTCCCAACAATCAGCTCGAATGTCATCTCCCCTCCCATTCTGAGGATCCCTGTGAGGTTATTCCTTCCCAGTATTTAAGTCAGTAAAAGTTTATTCTGACTCATCCACATGATCAACGATCAGTTGTGACCTATGTATGGAACAGTCAGGAATCCCTACGTACACAGAGCCAACAGGCAGGCACTTGCCCCCAAGTCAGGGGGAAGGGGGCTCACGACGGTGGGGCGGTTGAGTAGCAGAGCCCCACGACAGGACAGCTTACAAATGGGAGTGGAATGGGAGGGGCCAGAGGAGAGGACTGACAGGCACCCTGCAGGGAAGGACGGACTGTCAATGCCCTTCCCTCCCACTGGCAGAGGATCGGAACATTTCTTCATTCCCCTCACTAACTCCTTCTGGATTTAACTTTGTTCTTCTGAAGGATATCTTCAGTGACTTCTTCGGCAGTTTTTTTGATAGACTGATTTTTTTCTTTAGTTTCTTGGCCTAGGAATTCCCTGATAACACAAGTAAAGTAAATTTGAGACCCAAAGACTGGTTAAGGGTGGGCAGCAGTGAAAAACGCCTAGCAGAGACTTCACTCCTTTTCCATTTAGATCCCATGGAGTGGAGACAGGCCAAGCTTCATGCTGCCTTTTGGTATCAGTATGCAAACTTTTTCTATGTTATCCTTTCTCCGGGGTATGAACTTTCCTGCTTTATTTATAATTCCTGGCCTGCCTTTGGTCCAAAGCTTTGTCTCTTATTTGGATACAATAATGGAAACAAAAAAAAAAACAAAAAGCCCCTCTCCACTGACTGCCACAACTGGTAAACTATCTCAAATCAGGTGCAGGATCAGCCTACGGTTTACTGTTCTGGGGTTGTTACCACTTCACTTCTAGCCCCTGCAAAATTCTCTTTATATTTTTGAGCTCAACTATGCACTAGAGCATACCTGTTATATTTCATAACGCATATATAGATATTTTTAGTGATATGTTTTTTGTTTACTTGGTCTATATAATTTCTTTAATAGCATTTTAGTGATAACAGAAAGGATACATGATAATTTTAAGTGTTTAGCCTACCATCTTCTGTGGGAAATAAAATATTAATTATGTTTAAATAATTATAACACACCTTTTTCACTAAGGACCACTGTCCTGATCATTTGCTCTATGCTTTTATACTATTCCTTTACTTTTATTCATATACTATTCATTACTTTTATACTACTCATTTACTTTCACTAATACAGGAGAGAAATTAGGTGCTATAGCTAAATAAACATAAATAGATTCAGATTAAGATTGAACGCTAGTTCTTCTACCACTTATTATTAGCTGGGAAGCTCAGAAGATTTACTTAAATATTTGAACAATCCCCTATAGTATAAAATTAAACCATCAATATTGTTTTGAAAGACATGAATTTTTATAACTCCCAGTGGTAGAGTATCAGCAATTTCTTGCACTTCCAACTAATACCACTTGCATGGAAATGTGGCCTCCAAGAGTTCTTGTTACACAGTGGGTGGCCAAATGATAGCTCCACTTTCGTTATGGAATGATTTCCAATTAGGAGGAATTCCAGGTGACCCTAGTTGACACATATGCAGTAGTAAAATATCGGCTATTTGGAAAGAACCATACTTAGTTTTACATTACAACCTGTTTGGGATTGACATGAACTTGCAGAACACAATCTTCATACAAATGTTATTATTATTATTACAGCAAATTCACCTTGTAATCACATATTATCTGGAGTTCTCCATTTATATCTTTCCATTCAGTTACATCAAGGATCATGATTTTATCTACAGCAAACCCCACAGCTAAAGGAATAAATGTTCTTATACGTTATGTCCTGAGTTCCACTTTGTCCTCACCAAATATTTAAGTGAATCTTCTGAGCTTCCCAGCTAATAAGTGGTAACTAGCTAAGAGCCAGTACCTCAAACCCCATCTCCGTGAGTCTGCACAGAGGGAACCAGTTTGTAAAGGGTGAGGACAGTTACTCACAGTCAGAGCGAGCAGTTTCCCGTAGGTAAGATGAGCAGGGATGTGATCGGTCTTGGCTCTGAGTGATTCCATATACCAATGCTCCGCTTCAGGGAGTTTGCTTAATCGCATGTACGCTTCACCTGGAAGAAGAACCACGATCAGTCTGAGGACACAGCCGCCTAACAGCATGTTTATGTTCTGTAACATTTCCGATGCAATGGCCAGTACTGTGATCCATCCTCTCATCTGATTCCCAAAAAGTCACATTAACCATTTCATAGATGAGAAAATGTGTGTTTGGAGAAATTAAGTTAAATAGCTAAAGTAAAAAATTTAGTAAGCAGTAAAGGTTTGATTTTTAACCTAAGAATATACACTCCCAAGCATATGTCCTTTGCACCATTTTTTTTTCTTAAGGTAAGTTTGTTCTTTCTGAATTACAATCATCTGTTCTTTTTTATTCACATCCAATTTCAAGTGTTTATAGAATAACTACTAAGTGGAGAGTATTATATAAGACCTAGATGAGAGAAGTTTAAAGTCCTATCCTATGTGGTTCACAAACATACTGAGAAAGTTAAGACTAACTGAAAGAGTTAAAATATTTTGGATTAAGCATTGGTGCTAGATTTTAGTTTTTGAGAAATTCTTTGCATTTTATATTATAATAAGTAAATGAAATTTGTGTTTCATTTGGAAATTCCAGCAAATATGTGATACGTAGCATGCCCAGCACCATGTACAAAGCTAGTCAAAAGCCATTCAGCCATCGGTTATTACTTTCAGGTTTTACAAATTTTACTTGCCAAATAGCATTTCACTAAGAGCCAGGAAAGGCCAAAAAAAAAAAAAAAAGGGAAATAAAGCCAAAAGTGTATTAGTTACCTGCTTATTATCACTCCCTCTCCCTTATGTGCTTATAATATGAAAGAATATTCACCTGATGGGAAAATTATATTTTGAGATGATATAAATCAGTATTTAACTGTTGTAATTCTGATAAGCACCGCAAATGTAGAAGCTGCTCAGTTCCTGAGACCAGGCAATAAACTAGCAACCTGCATTATTTCTCAAGCAGACCTTTATAGCTTAACTAATCAGAATTATGATAGCTTTTAACATTTAGAGACATAATCAGAGGCTTTTCCTAAATGCAATACCTGCAGTGGTTGTACATCTTTGCTTCAAAGGAAGAGCTAGCTTCCCTTCATTTCAATCACATTTTCTTTACATTAACGGAGCACTAATACAAATATATTTTGTGAATTGAATTGATTTGGGTCTCCTGACCTTTTTAAGTGCCCTCTGCTTGGCTGTTTAGTAAAAAATATTGGTGACAAATAATATGTAATATGCCCAAGAATGCACGTACGACTCACACACATCTCTGGGTTTCTAGTTCTGAAAACAGTCTTTATACTACAGTACCATAAAAATGATAGCTGGAAGACCATTTTTTATTCCTCAAGTTTAAAAAATGTTTGCATTTAGGAATTTGGTTAGATTAAATCAAATGCTTAGGGTGAGGTACAAGAAATAATGAAGCAAAGACCAATGGCTGGGATGCAATATATAAAATGTTCATAGATGTTAGAGAGGCAGGATTAGGCATGGATTTTGTTATTGTTGTTGTTTTCTTTTGCTCCTTATTCTTTAAAGATATTTAACTAGGCTTATTCTGACAATATTTATTTCTCTCTTTTCTGACTTCAAGCAAGGCTGTGAAGATTTTGCTCTCCTATCGTAGTTTATCTTACCATTTTTAATTAGTTCCCCTCTCTTTGGAATTACACAGTTTGATAATTTCTAATGTGTATTTTTTCTTTTCTGATACAATGCATTTCCTATTTCACGATGTGTCTAGATTTTAATTGTAGATGAGAGTAATGATCACTTTTTGATTATTGTGCTCCATTATTTTTGTGTGTCTAGTGAAGCAATGTTTTATTCTTTTTGATTATTGTCTTTATACAAATACTTTTGTTTTTCTATTTCATTTCTTTATTGTATTTGCATATTGACTCTGCTCAATATCCTAATATTCCTCTCATCAGCTCAGTCTAATATTTAACCTACACATTACATGTTAAATTTTTTTAGTTTTCAGTTGTTCAATTTCTGCTTTGCTCTTTTCCAAATATGCTTTTCAAATTCCTAATTTCCTGCTCTTTCTACATAATTTTTCCCTATTTTCTCATTGTTTCACATACTTTTTATTAAAGTATCATTGATATACAATCTTACGAAGGTTTCACATGAACAACATTCACACATATTATCAAGTCCTCATTGCTGCCCCATTGCAGTCACCGTCTGTCAGCATAGTAAGATGCTATAGAGTCATTACTTGTGTTTTGACATTTTGAGTGCAAGTGACATTTAAGTGAAATATTCAAGATTTGTGTTATCTAATAACTTGTGGCCCCTCATTCTGGTAGTATAGATCCTTCTGTGTTTCATGAGTCATAATTTGTTTCTTAAATTTGGGAGATATATTTGGATGTTACAAATCAGTAGATTTACTTGTTTATTCCAGTTATCTGGGACAAGATGGTCAGCCTTGATTTGTGATCAGCCAGTATCCTGAGGGAACACTGTTTCCTTCTCATTTTGATCAGTCCTTTGAATCTTTCTCTTAACTCCTTTCTCTGCTCCTGGGAAGCTCTGAGGTTTTCCTTTTAGTTGTGGCCCATTTAATGTATTCTTAAAATCTTTGAGGCTTTCACTTCCCTGTATTACAAGAATATAAATCCAACTTATGCCAAGGGCTTGGAGAGGAGGAGCTGACCTGAAGAACTTGGGGAATCCTCAGCACCACAGGGAATCATCACGGGGCCCTTACTGGTAACACTGCCCTCCAGGGCAGGACTGGATAACTCCGTGAAACCATTATACACGTGCAAGAGATGATTCCCAGTAATTGGCAGTCAGCCCTCAGAGGTGGAGTATAACTGTCCTCTACTTAGGTATAGGCATGGAGTTTTAAAAAATAATGTTTCTGTAATACTGTATTGTAATTATAATAATATCTCTATAAAAACTGAAGCACTGTCAGATGGATTTTTTTTCCATGTTGAACAAATGTTTTCAGGTACAGTTTCTTCACAATACTAGGTATGATTTATATAACAGGATGCATAATCCCTAAAGTATTGAACATTTTAATGCAATCAATGACAAATCATATCCAAATATTTATTTCTAAAATGGATTTCTAAAGTCAGTAGAAAACAAGATCTTCAGAGTTAGGCTGAAAGATGGCCCTGCATTACAGGTTCTCTTTGGCATCAACCTAGAATTTTGGGGTTTTTTTCAAGTGCTTATAGGTCAGTTTTTAGAAGTTGTACAATTATTGCATTTAATACAGCTTGTTTTTCATTTATTAAAAAAATTCAACTCATTTGTAGAATGGTAAACAGTAGGTTTTCTGTACAGAAAAAAGAGTACAATTGAACCCCAATTACAGAGTGCTTTTGAAATTCAAATCTTTATTGTATTTAAGTTGGTGATGTCTGAAAATTATTTCTGAAAGTGTATTTTTTCTAAGTCAGAAATTGACCATTTTGAAATGAAATATTATTAATATGCCAAATAATTAGTGGCTGGCCTATTTCTTCAGTAAGAATGCATAAGCAACTTATTATGCTTAAGAGAGAGAAAAATTTCAAAGGGCTATCAATGGGAAATACGTAATAACACATCTTGGCAAGTATATGAAAAATGTAAATGAGCAGCTTACTTGGTACTATAAATTATAATTTAGAAAAACTTGATGTAACCATTCACTGTATCTCAGTGATGACAATTATAGCGATGACAATCATTCACTGAATGTTTATTATGAACCAGAACAGCAAGCTACAGGGGCCAAAAATCTGCCTTACGCGCACTAACTCTTCTCATTCTACCTTCGGGCTTGTATGAAATTTTTTTTTTCGCTTAGCCCCACAGGGAGATTTAATACATTATTCTCATTCCACTAACAATTAACTCATTCCACTAAGATTAGGTTTGCAAGATGAAACATATTTTCAGTCTTTATATGTGTATCTAATTTTTTATTAAGGAATGTCATTACCTGGATTTTACAGATAAGGATAATGAGAAGCGAAGTGGTTAAATAAAAACACACAAAATCTTAAATGTGGAAAGTGGTAAAGCTGTAATTCAAACCCAGGATGACCTGACTTCAAAGCACTTTGCTTTAACTTGGCTGGTAGTGAACAATTACAAGCTTCCGAACTCTCCAGTTCAGGGCAAACTTACACTCAGAGAACAAACATTGTTCTCTAGCTTGTGATGCACTGGCCATCAAATTCATTTTACTTTGCCTTGGGCTCATCTATCTTATTGAATTGCAGGAATAAGGAAGAGCGATGATAATCCACGGTTGACCTTTAAAAATGCTTCTGTTGCTCACATTACTCGATTCTTATGAGGGAAATATGTAGCATAGAAGATGCACCTGTGTCTAAGATTAACCTAAACACAAAAACACTCAATAAAAAGGGTCATAAAATCAAGAAGCAAATCCTGAAATGTAAGAAAATAATCATGGATGAATTTAAATGCGTTTAAAAGATAAAAATATTAAAGCTATCAACAGTACAAGAACAGCACTTGCTTTATCCCTGGCATCGACAAGGTAGAAGTCAATTTCTCATTTCTATTCACACTAGGGGTGACAATAGTCATTTTATGGATGAAGGGGAAGGCTCAGAAATAATAAGTGACTTGGGCGAGGATGGTTAATAATCCTGAAAGTCTGAATGGCTCTGAAGTCCATGCTTTTTTCCACTGTATCAACCCACCTACCAAGGAAAGTTTATTATTTACTGAATACCTACTAAAGTCTTAAATATATTATCATTATACTTTTACATTATCCCTACAATGTAATTAGTATCAGTCTCATTTTACACATGAGGTACCTGTGGTTCACTGAGCGACTTGCTCAATACTGAGTCCAAAAGCAAGCATTATGCCAGATTCAGGATTCAGATTAGGGGTCTGTCTTTCTACTATACCAATCTGTCCAAATACTATTAAAAAGAAAAAAAAAAAAGGTGGGATTACAACTACAAAAAGTGCCATCAGTAGATTCAGTTAAAGAGAAAATGATATATATGTAATCCTTCAA